TTCTAAAGGTGCTTTTCTCTTAGAACAGGAAGGACCTAGGAGACCTCATCCGCCCTTAAAGACACTGCCTAATAGTCTTCTTGGGAAGTTTCTCAGCACCATTCTGCTTTTTTTAAAAAAGGCTTTTATCCTTTTTAAGTGGAAGCAGGAAGTGAGAATTCTAAGAAATGCAGGTCAGAAGGCCATGATGACCTCGAGGCGCAAGATTAAGAAGGTAAATTCTTAATCTCAGTCTTAATCATAGGCAAAGGCAAGTTAGGCAATTTGTAGACGTCATTCCATGAAGAACCCACCACTTTTCCCTTGAATTCTTTGATTGGCCTTGGGTAAGAATATTATTTGTCCAAAGTTAGAGGTGATTGTTGGCAAAAAGAGAAGGAAATGTTCTAACCTTGCCATGTACTGTGAAAGGAGAAACAAAGGCTTTGGTTTCAGGTGCAATGACCAACATCAAGGTCATCCTAGCTCTTTGATGAGACCATCAAATAACACACCACCTGCCTCCATTTAGAGTTCTGAGTATAATGCTACCAGGAACACAGGACTCAAACTTCAGTACTAAGAGCAGTGATGAGCTTTGTGCCTTCCTATTCTAACGCAGATACTGAGGAGTGTTTGAGTCTTCAACCTTCTACCATCTGAGCTTAAGCTTTAGGTATATTGACAAGTTGCAATTCAACTCTATAGCTCGTACTCAATGGCCTTTCAAAAGCAAATACATGACAATAACGTAGCTGCTTCTCCAACTGAAAATACTGAATTAGTCCCCTCCATTTTGTAAGTCTTAATTGCCTTAAAATCAGTATAAAGAAAACAATTTAAAATGAAGTCTTGACCAGGTTTACAGGTCTGATAAGAGACAGGTAGAATCCCTGAGACTATGTTCCTTAGACACCACTTGAACCTGGAACTGAACCCACTCCCAGGCAACAACTTTTAGCCAAACGATAAGCCAATAAAGTGATTAATAATACCAGGAATATACTTCTCAGTACAATCAACCACACGAGACCAAATGGCTGCTTCTGCCTCAGAACTCAGGAAGGGGTTGGGAAGAAGGAAGGGTGGAAACAGGGAACCCAGGGAGAAAGCAGGAAGATTATCATTATATTTCAGGGGATTGCAGCCAACGTCAGGAAAATAAAATGTGTTCTGGTAGCGTAGTGGTTACGAATCGGGCTGCGAACCTTAAGGTTAGCGGTTCGAAACTACCAGCCGCTCCGCGGGATAAAGATGAGGCTTTCTACTCCCATAAAGATTTACACCCTCGGAAACCCTGTACAGGGTCGTTATGGGTCGGACCCGACTCGATGGCACTCAACAACAACACAACAATTCAACTCTGTTGAAAACTGGCTCTGTAAACTTGCACTCACACATCAATAAAATGAACTAAGGCCTTTAAATTGCTTTAAAGAATGCTTTATTTACTACACATCCCAAGACTGTGAATGTGGCACAAGCTAAACAAATTTTAAAGTTTTTCAAATACAAAGCATCTAAGAACTAAACTACGAGCATGTCTGAAAATAGGGAACATAAATTTTTTTTTGTTTTTTTTTTATACATTTATAGTTTGTTCTTAACCCTAAAAAAAAAAAAAAAAAAGTTCACATTTCAAGTTATAAACTTAGCTCAGTAGTGTACAGGAAATGGTTCTGAAACAATAGGAACAGGCAGATCACAGACAGGAGACTCACTGTTACTTAACCGGCTGTACCATCAACCTTTGTTTCTAAGGTAATTTGTAGTAGCCATGTTAAGACACCTTTTTTTCTTCTTTTCCTCCTTTTCCATTTTTTTTTTCTTTTTACAAATAATTTATAAGCACATGTAAAATACAGTAAGTACACTAGGTCAGACTCTCATGTGGGGAACTTTGCAGTTCCTTCACTAGAAGAACAGGACCTGTTTCACACAAAGTCCATGGATGAGGATCTGATCCAAATTGCATTTTGTTGGGTTATTCATTCCAACAGATTTGAGTTTGGATGCAGCTTCTGGAAACACATTAGGAACATTGCACAATTATTTTTATGTCGCTTAAGAACAATGAAAAGTAATGCAAGGAATGTTTAAAGGCCTTACCAGGCACTCAATAAATTTTATAAAATAGTTAAACAAATATTGATTATATATATATAAAAGAAATTCACCCCATCCCAAGATGAGAGGGAGAAAACAAGGAGGGCATTTGGGAATCTCTTAATTTAAATCCCTCTCTCTCTCTTTCTCTTTTTTTTTTTTGGTGTACACAAAACACACAGGAATATATAATTGTTTAAACAACCAAAGGGCACATTTTGCAAGTCAGCCTCCTGGCTGTCAGCACACCGCCTTTCTCGTTTTGTGAATCTAGAGTTCTCAGCTGCTCTATCTCTCCATGTCATCATCTCTTCCTCCGTCTCTTGGTGTGGCTACTTCTCTGGTTAGGATCCCAGCTCTGCTCATGCTCTTCCCTCTTCATGGTACTAGGGTCTTCTGTTTCTGGAATGTAAGCTTAACTACGACCACCTTTTTGTTAAATCTCTGCAACTTTTACATTTGTGGCAATCCCAATTGTTGTTGTTGTTAAGTGCCGTCGAGTCGACTCCAACGCACAGCAACAGGATTCCAAAGAGCAGCTGGTGAGCTTGAGCCACCGACTTTGCAGTTCAAACGACTTTGCAGTCTGATGCATTAGCCCACAGCCCCACACCAGGACTCTAGTCATGATAACAATTACTCACTCTTGAATGATAAGAATCCTATCCCCATCTCCTTTCAGCAGACCCATCTTGACAAGATGAAAACTATTCAGTGGGGATACTAACTTCCCCTCATTTGGAAACTAAACTTCTCTTGAACATTTGTAAACAAGCCACTTCGTGCAGTTATAGGCCCCACTCCCCCATTTTTAGGTAGCTAATGTCTAACTTGCCTGTCTCTATCAACCCTATGTACTGAGAGGACAGGTTTGATCCTTGGTATGAAGACTCCTTCCCTCTCAGTTGGTATTTTGAGCAACTACATCCATAAGCAAAGGTCAAGTTCACCAAATTGTAGTAATTTATACTTGCTTCCTGTATCAAATTTCTTTTTCTTCCTCTAGTCCAGTTCTGATCAGCAAGTCATCCAGTCTAGGTCAAAGCTGTAAGTTTGGGTGTTCCTGTGCACCTCCCCCCACTTTATATCAGCTGGACACTTACTTCACTCTCAGCTCTAGCCTCCAGTGGCTAGGTCAGTGTCCATGGGTTGAGGAGTTCCCAAGTCTCCAAAGGGGTAATCTTGGTAGATTTTTTTGAAGGATACAGTGTGACCATGGGGATGATGTCATGAGGATGAAGTTTTAAGCAAATTGAAAACTGTATTGGTGAGAAAAAAAGCCATCATGACAATGCACTTGCTCATTATTTAGGGTAGCAAGGACTGTCCTGGGAGAATTTCCTTAGAAAATCTCACCCCATCCACCCTACAGTCTTAATCTTGCCTCTCAGACTTCTTCTTCTCCTCCTCCTCCTCCTCCTCCTCCTCTTCTTCTTCTTTCTTCTTCTTCTTCTTCAACTTAAGGTTTTTATTGTGGATTGAGTGAAAATTTACAGGGCACATCATCAGTT